AGGACATACCAGCGGAATTCATGCCAATAATTTGCCATCTCTGCGCCTCTGATATCCGTCTTCTTGCCATTCTTACATGCGATTTTAAACCGCATTTCATAAACTTAAAACTAGTTTTTAAGGCATATTTATTATTTAGAACATATTCTATTTGTCGTTTGATATATATATATAATACGGTATAATAATTAATAATCTTACATCAGTTTATTACCCAGCAAATAAACAATGTTACATTTCTAGGATTACGAGAAAAAAAATCACTTCATTCCTTTAAACGTTTTGTGCTATATTTTTTCATCAGTTTTCAAGTTTTTATTGTCCTTTCTTCATCGTTATCTTTCATTCTGTTACAGATCTTTTTTTTTATCGTCTTTTAAGAGTCAGATATATAGGTTATCTGGTATTAACATTTTGATTCTTCTCTTCTTGTCCTATTGTTTGCTTCTTTCATTGTTGCGAGACGTTTATCCTATTGTCTTTGAAATGGAGGAAATAATGGGTATTTTTAGCCGCGGAATAACAGCTCAGAACGGCTCCGAGTTGTTGTTGTCCCCACCCCACCAAAAAAAAAGTACAAACTTATGGATCACAGCTCAGTCATCTCTTGATCGATTTGTGATCTAATTACAGTTTTGGACTCATGAGGCCATACCCTTTCGATTGATGTACTTGATCACGCCGAAGGTCACACTCATTAATTTACTCTAATCCTGCCTAAAAGAATTTTAAGTGCCACGGCTATTGAGGATTCCCTCTTAATTTTAAACGAAATACACATTTAAGATTGTAATTCATTACTTTACAAAATCAACGTATAGTAGTGGTCCTGTCATTTATCTTTAAACTAGCTTGCTGGATCGCATTTTAATGTCTGTTTTTGGATATGGTATCAATCAAAAACATCTTAGATGTGAAAAAAATGTGCGGCCAAAATAGGATTGAGTATGCGACTTGAATGAAATCAAAATTGGCGGCCAAACTGGTACCTACACTTATAGTATTGATAAGATTTTTACAGCAAATATTCATTCATTAGTTAGTTAGGCCGCGTATTTTGTTCAACTTTGGGCATGATGGTGAGTAAAATAAAATACATGGCCTAGTTAACTATCTCGTTTCAATACTAACCAAATTGCTTATTACATGTACAAGGTGAACTGATACCACTGCAGTTACATGATTAGTATCATGTGTAGAGACAATTTTAAAACAAATTAAGTTCTTTAAATGCCGGACCAAAGTGATATTCTATAGTTAAATTAACGCACTATAACTATTGTTATGTTGCTGAAATTTTGCAAGTTTTTATTATTTTTTTACTTTAGTTGAAATTCAAATTGAGCAACTTTTAAAATAAGTAATAAGGTGTTCCCCTGCAGAACTAACTATATATCTTTTTGTATTTGTACTATGTTTTCTACCCCTCACTTTTCATTAACTTAAAAATGGAAGAAATTGTCCTAGAACTGCAACAAGTAAATACAAATTATTTGTTATCCCAAAATAGTATCCCTGTCTGTCAAGTGAATACTCTCTCGACTTTCTTGGAAAGTATAATTTAAAAGTTATGAGATTAAGTAGGACCCTGCGAAGCTTCGAAATTCGATACGATAGTGAATCGGGATTGAGTATTCGATTCATTTCGTTAGCTTGGTCCCCGATTTTATATTTCCGAATCTACATCACTTACGGTAAACTTTAGAATTTAGCTTTTAATTCAGTTTATATACTGGAACCTGTTTCCTGGTAAAAAAACTTGTACCATTCTTCTCCCGATGTTTAAATACATATCTTTTGTTTTTAGAAATATTTACTTTTATACTCATTACTAACTGTGTGTAGAAGCACCCTACATAAATAAATAAACCATTTTCTATTTGATTAAAAAGTTAATTAGGCCTACATACCCTATAATCTGCACAGCTGATTCCATTTGAATATGTCGTAATGATTTAATTCGAAAACACATTTTGTGATTCACAGGGCCCTATTATTAAGTGCTAGAAACTGTCACAGCAGATATGTAAAACCATAGCTCTGACTTTATATTTATTGTCAAACTTAATTGATAGAAATACTGCGGTAGTACAATTTATTACAAATCACTTTGAACTAAAACGAATATTTTGGGGTTTAGAAATGAAAAATTTTCTTGTTTACTCAAAAAGTTCTAATTAATTGACAATTACGTACAGTAAAGATTAATTCTGTTTTAATGCTCATGGGAAAAACCAACAACAAGTGTGATATACTGTAATTTCTCCTTGTAATAAAGACACACATGTAACAGCATATGGTAAAAGACATTTATTGAGACAATTGACAGGTTACACCTTTCATCACAGACTTACATAATAGGGGGTTTTGATGCCATCAGCTTTAGGAGACATTAAAAAAAAAATTATAATAATTACCAGCCAGTTACTCAATAACCTGACTAACCTATTTAGTTACCTGAACTCTTCCTTCTGCTTACTTATACATCACTCTGAGGGGTCTTAGACTAGAAATACCCTTTGTAAGCATTCACAGTATAAACCAAGGAAAAGTTGAGAAGTTATTTAATTCAGTTCATGATGATACAGTTATAATGTACATAATCACTTTGATATCGTAATGGGTTCTTTATATTTATTATCCAGATTGGTAGAAGAAATACAAATTTCTGTAAATGGAATAAATTTACAAGCAGGATGATAAAAGTGTCTTTTTGGCCTGTAAGATATTCAAGTTGATGTTAGAACTAACCAGATGATAAAACAATGGTTGAATACTGAAATATCTACTGTTGATAAAGTTAGGTACTACAATAGAATGACTTACACACAACATTACCATGTACTGACAAGTGCATGTTCTACAGGTGGAAGCTTGTTCCCTTTTAAAACAAGGAAACTCCCTACTGACGACACTTTCTTCTTGTCAGGCTTGTATTTCATATGGTTCTAAACTGCATTTACTAAGAGATGTTAGCTTATCCCCACTGTTGTCCAAATGAGTCTTGATACCATGGTGAGTCCCCTTCTAATGATCCATAACCATAACTATTGTAACCTCCAGAACTAAGTGGCTGTTGAGGAATTGGCTGGCTTCCCC